ACCAGGGCACTGCTCAACAGGGAACTTTTTGTAATGCAGGGGGTTGGGGTTTTGTTTTTTCCCATTTTCTTCTCCCTATGGTCCCTTGTACTCTGGCTAAGCAGTGAGGGTGCCCAGCACCCCTGAGCTTTGCAGATTTGGTGCTGGTGGTGCAGGCGTGTCCCCAGCTGGTGACAAGTTGAGTGGGTACATGAGATGGGTAATGCTGCCCCTATCCATGGGGGAAAGAGAGCAGGAAAACACCAGTCTCCCCTGGAAAACGTCTCCAAAACTCCATCACCCCTGGATCTGAGGAACCCTTTGGATTTCACTCTTGGACAGCAGACTGAGAGGGAGCAGGCAGTGCGCTGGGAGAAGCAAGTCCCCACAAAACCTGGATTCCCAGGGAGCAGCTGCATCCCCACTGCTCTCTGGGAATGTCCCTCCAGAGCCATCCCTGCGGTTTAGCGCATCAAGTTCCCAGCCTGCGCCCCCGAAGGTGTTTCACACCCGGCTCCGGGTACCCGCAGGCCGGGGGAGCGCGTTTCGGCACCGTGCTTGTTTATGAGCTGTGGGCTTTGGCCCCGGCCGTGTCCTGTGCCCGCTCCACGGGGATGGATCTGGGCAGGATCCGGGCGGGGACCGCGGGCTCCGCTCCCACCGACGCGCGGGGGAACTCGCAGGCGCTTTGTCAAACATCTGGCGGCTGAATATTCATGAAGTAGGAGAGCAAACCAAACACGGGGAATCAAAGGAGACGGAACCCAATACTTGGAGTTGCTAAAACAGTCAGGAACCAGTTTCTTCCTGCCGGCTGCAGGGCAGGAGCAGCGTGTCCCCCGGGACAGTGGGGTGGGAGGGAGCAGAACCCATCAGCCAGCTCCATTCCAGCGGGGCCGAGTCGGGCTGCTGAAACCGGCTGCAGCTGCATGATAGCCGCGCTGACTTACAGCCCTGCTGCTGCCCCAGCCCCAAATCATCCATCTCCTTCAGCAGCATCCCAATCCTAAGGTCTTTTTGAGAAATTCGATGCTGTCCCCGCATGGGTCTGGTGCAAAGAAATGCCTGTTGCTCCCCTGCCTGCAGACAGCTGCTCAGCCAGCCAGGAGAGGAAGAAACCTCTGGGTGACTGTTCCTACATGGGCTCAGGAATTTTGGGATCCCTGTCACAGCCTTGGCTGCCATTGCCAGCAGCACCAGAACAGGCAGCGCCAGTGCAGGCAGGATGTATTTCTTCAATCTCTCTGCATTTATCTGGTTTGATTTATTTTAAGTTATTTTTAACAGTTTTTCTGAGTGCTCCCTGGGGCCTTTTTTCTTAGTTAGGGACTTGAGCAAAGCTGGAGCAGAAGGGAAATATTACCAGCCAAGCTGGGATTTCTACCATGTGCAGGGGTTTTGTGGCAGCCCCATGCCCACCAGGGCACCCACCCACACTGACACACTGACAAAGCCAAGGAAAGGTTCTTCTCCAATCACTCAGCCCTGAGAGCACAGCACCCCATCCTTTCCCTAGCTGGCTGCTACCTTTGTGTCACCACCAAAGCTTTGCTGGTGACTTGCCTGTGTCCCTGCCCTGAGGCCATCAGGAGGACATTGGGAAGAACTTGCCCACTGTTGCAGGAGGCAGTGCAAGGGGTAGTGATAACTTTATTCTCCTCCAAAACAGAGAGAGGACCTCAAGCTTAAACATCCCACATTTCCAGGCTTCTCCATGCTGGTGGTTCCAGCCCGTTCTGGTGACGCCCTGCTATTCCCAAGGCTGATGAGCCTCACCCCCAGTGATACAGCAGCACCTTGCACACAGAGCCCATGCTGACCATTGCTGTTCACCTTCCTTGCTTGCCAAGGAGAGCTTTCTAAAAGGCTTTTGAAGACAAATGTGCCAGAGTGTCTTACCCTTGAAGATTTCATTACTTAGAAGTGCTCTAGGAGCAGGGAATATCTCTTACCCCTCCTAGTCTCTAGCAGTGTGGGGGATGGAGGCAATCCTGGAGCTGCTCAGCAGTGGTACCCATGGTCCTGGCAGGAACTCAGTGTTGTGCTGTATTTTGGCAGCTGCTGCTCCCAGAGTTTCAGTGGATCAGACTGGGAGAGCTCTGCAGCAGCCAGTGCTCCCAGGGGATGGGGTGGGTTTGGGTCCAGCCAACCTGACAGGGGGTCTTGGTGGGGCATAGAGTGGGATGAGAAGGGGAGGACAAATGGCTCTGCAGAGAAATCCATATCAACAATTTAATAAAACCTAGGGGGGGAAAAAAAAGTCTCCCAGCTGGGATTCATCAGGAAAAGCTTTCCAGGAGTAGTAAGGAAAGCAGACTCAGCCCAGCACAACAATACCTTGGTGATGGTTGGGGGAGGTGTGGTCCTGGGAAGGCAGAGGACCAGGGGTGCCTGTGCACTGCCAGGCACAGAGAGTTTTGAAGAAGAGCTGTCTTGGGAAGCCCTTTGCAGGCATTTAGAGCAGGGGTTGTTTCCCTGCAGACAGCCCCTCCGCCCAAAGCTGGGCTGGGGAACAGGCTCCTGTTCCTTCCCAGGACTGGTGGTATTAAGCCTAAAAAGGGAATTGTTGGAGTCTTTACCAAAGAAGGAAGACTGGCTGCGCTGCTGGCAGGCAGAGCTGGGGGGAGGGATGCCACAGCCCAGCCCACAGGTCTGGGGGCTCACTCCCCTGCTTGTCCTGGGCTCTCCTTGAATGCACAGGGGCCAGATCCAGCCCAGAGGTGTTGCAGAAGCTGTACAAGGGCTGCTGCAGGGAAGGCATTGCCTGGATCCCGTGCATCGTGTGCAGCAGGTGTGGGGAGGCAGTGGGGGATGTGACCTGCATTTCCCTCCATAGATTCACCCCATTCCTTCCCTGCCCGCACAAGTTGAATCAAGGTTCCCACAGGGGGAGAAGGAGTCATAACCCAGCCTCTTCCCAGTCCTCCTCTGTGCTCCACCTTCCACCTATTCTGCACCCTCCAGCCTCAAGTTTCCACCCTGCACCCTCCATCCTTCATCTTCCACCTTCCATCCTCCATCTTTTACCCCCCACATTCCACCCACCACTTTCCACTCTCCATCCTTCACTCTCACTGCTCCCTCCTCCAAGCCCACTAGCACCAGGTGGAACAACAGAGGAGAGCTCTGCCCTGAGTGTGCAGAGACTTTGCACTGCTCTGCACCCCATGGAGGGGCACTGACCCTCCTGCCCAAGCTGGCAGATGTATCCCACACCTCCTCATCCCTCTGTCCTTGTCACCATTACCAACCAACTCAACTCAACCAACTCAACCACCCAACCAACTGAAGCTCAAGCAGAGACAGGCAAGACACCCTGTGGCTGCAGGGCTGTGCCACAAGGGCAAATCCTGCCCTGATCAGTGAGTGCTGCTGTATCCAAAGTCCCAGCAAGGACCAGCCAGAGGATCTGGGGGTGACACTCCCAAGCTATTTTATAATGAGGGAGTGCAGCTCTTGATGGGCTGCAGGTCAAATTCACAGTTATTAGAACTCAGTAAATGTGGTTTTAACAACCATCTGGTTCTCCTTTTATATGCAATAACCATCCCATTACATCGAAATAAAATCCACATTTAAGGCTTTTAATTGCACAAATGGCCTTTAGCTTTTTTCCCTCTCATCTCCAAAGGAAAAAGGAAATGTCCCATTTCCATCTGTCATAGCAGAAGAATTTGGCTGAGAGTGTCCAGCCTCCTCTTGAGGCTGGGCTGGTGCACGTGGAGTGTTTCAGCCCTGGGAGAAGGTGCTGGAGCCAGCCAGGCTCCCCATGGCCCCTGAGGACCCTTACCCCAGGGCAGTGGTGGGGTTAGCCACCCTGCAGCCTCCCAGAGGGGTCCCAGCATCCCTGGGGACTGTGTGGCCATTTCCTGATATGGACTAGAATAGGGTGAGGACAAAGACTCACCTGACAGCTTGAAGAGAAATACCACCTCATAAAGGGTTTTGAGTTCAGTTTGGCTTTGCTCCAGTTCTGGGCAAATCATCTTCCCCTCATCTCAGTTTCTCACCAGGAAGGAGAATGGAATGGGAAATGCTATCCCAGGTGGCCAAAATGTATCATTTGGTTACTGCAAAATGTGAGGTGACACAAACACAACCTGGCAAAGCAGGTGTTTTCTCAGACAGAACAGGAAAATCAGGCACACTTATGCAGGACATTTTCCTCCTTCCCCCAGGAAAGCTGCAGCTACAGGATTTCACACTTCAGAGGAGCTACTCCTGCCAAGGGAGAGCAGGACAGGAGTCACACAGGGCAAGGGAGCATCCTCAGCACAGCAGATGTTCAAAGCTGTGAGCATCTCCTGCTGTCCCAAACATGTTCAGGCTCAATAATTGGGGGATTTAGGTGAGATTTGTGGTTCAGCACTGTGGAAGTCAACCTGTGAGCAGCACATTGTGGCAGGGAGCCCTTCCAGAGCTGACATCTCACCATCACTCTGGCACAGAGGGAGAAGCAGGGGCAAAGCAGGGGCAAAGCAGGGCAGGCTGATTTCTCAGCAGTGGCTTTTCCACATTCAGCAGCTCCACAGTTCCTTGCTTTCCCCCAGTGAGGCCAAGAGCCCTGCCCATGTCCCACTAAATGTCCCCAGTGCCCCAGAGGCAGCAGGATGGGTGTGCAATTGGGAGCTGTACCGGCTCCAGGGGATCTTTCCTGGAAAGTGAAAAGCACAAGTTCCCAGTGCCCTCTGCAGGAGGAAGCACAGCCCTTATCCCCAAAATTTGGGGCCTTTCAGGAGGACAGTGAACAGAGGGATGGGTGTCTGTCACCATGGCTTGCTGTGTCCCTGTGGGGACAGGGACACGGAGCCCCATCTGCCCATCCCCAGGGGCTCACAGGGAAAAAGCCATTTTGCACCTTGACTTGTACATTGCTTTGCTGAGGAACTCTGGGACCCTGACAGCATGGCCAGCCCAGGAGTCACCTGAAATAATCGCTGCTATTTATTCCCACAGGAAATCCAGCTTGGTTAAACAAGAGGCTTGGGTTTTGCCCAGCAGAGCTGGGGCTTAACATTACGCTTGTTTTTTTGTCTCTTTTTATTTGGTACTTAAGGGAAAACAAGGGGGAAGAAATGAACAAATGGAAAACAAGACTCAGCACTACATGGCTCTGGCACTGGATTGCTGTCCCAAGCATGGGCTTGTTCCACAGTGTGCAGCACCAATTCACACACCAAGGAGAGGTATTTTTGGGTGTTTTTTTCTAATTTGCACAAAATAGGGAGCTAGGTGATAACCCACAAAAGGCTGGCTCCTCACCTGTAGAAACTTTACATTATTTATACATTTTAACAAAACTATTAGCATTCATTGATTGCAAATTACAGAACCTTTTGTTATTCATTACTCAATCCCTTACTTGCTAGTTATGTTTCTTGTGTCTCATGCTAATTAATCCACAGGCAGAGTTCTTCCCCTCATTTGAGTCTGGGGTAGGCAGTCAATGAGTCAGTGGTTGTGATCTCCCACTTCCAAAATCACTTTTTCCTCAGTCACTGGTCCGTTCCCAGACTTCACTCCTGGTGGCTCTGGGCCAGGCATCCCATTCCTCTTTTCCTTGAAACAAAGGATTGGAATCACAGAATTAGAATAGAACACAGATTAGAATATTGTGAGCTGGAAGTGACCCATCAGCATCACGGAGTCCTGGCTCTGCACCCCAGCAATGCCACCCTGTGCCTGGCAGCGCTGCCCAAGCGTTCCCGGAGCTCTGTCAGCCTGGGGCTGTGACATTCCCTGCCGGGGCTGTGACCATTCCCCGCCGGGGCTGTGACCATTCCCCGCCGGGGCTGCCCGGTGCTGGGCACCCTTAGCGTGAGGAGCCTTCTGCCGGTACCGCAGCCCAACCCACCGAACCGAGCTGCAATCGCTCCACCATAGCCCGTGCACAATCACACTGCGTCACCTCAGCCACTGCCCCACAGCTGGGAAACCTGCAAGCTTAACCCAAACCCCCGTTCGCACCTCGAGGGGCTCGCTGTCAGCGAGCCACAGCAGGCAGGGCATGGCATGGTACAGAGCCAGACAGCGTGGCACGGTGTGACACAGCACGACACGGTGTGACACGGCCCCACACGCCGTGGGAATACAATCGCGACACGACGCGACACTGCCACAGGCCCCGGGCGCTTTCCCGCCGCGGCCCCTTTAAGGCGCGCTGGCCAATCAGCGCAGCCCACATCCCCGCCAGGGGCCGCCCTCGCGGCCCGCCGGGAGGCCCGTACCACTCTCTCCATCCGGGGGAGTCACTTCTTCCCGTGGCCTGGC